AGTTGATCCATAAGTTGACGTATTTGTTAATTGTTAATAGAAGTTGATATGGCATGGTTTAATATAAAAAAATTCGGATTTGGTAAGTTTATGGGTTATGTTAAACATGCTTCAGTATTTCGATCATAACTTGAGTTATAGAAATCGAAATGAGATGATTCTTGAAGAAAGTTAAGAAATAGCCCTATAACTTTTAAGTTTAGGCCAAGAGCCAATTCATTTGAGAAATGAATGGAAACTAGCTTGAAGAATAAACTTCTGGTTATTAAAGTTTAAGATTTAACATAATTAATTCTTATGATTATAAATTGATTATTTATGTATTGTTGTAATTACCCATTAGTTAGATGATCTTTGAGAGATATACATGGTCATGGATGCGAATGCATGATTAATGTTATGAAATGGCATGAAGATGTAGTGTAATATATGTTTTAAGATGATGAATATGAGCAAGAGGTAATGTAAATAGATTGATAATCCATAGATGAATCAAAAGTATTAAGCTCACAAAAACATGTATTTACATGTCATAAGATGTTAGAGATGCATATAGACAGGATGGAAAATGCGTAAGCATATCCTCTTATACTAGTTGAGAAAAGATGAATATATACTTCAGATGCTAAGTAACGCGTAAGCACGTCTCCAAATGATATGAGCTCTAGATGAATTTAAGGCTAGATGGTATTAAGTGCTTAAGACGCTAAGAAAAATCTGATCGGCTAGACGTTGGATGATTCATATGCATTTAGCTGCATTACATGAGTTATGATGTTATTTACATTATGAGATGATTTGTACTCATGTTAGATGATATTTAGATGTTATGTCATGACATGTGATGTGTGTACACTTGATGTTTTATATGACCATGGGATAAAATGATGAAAAATATATGAATTAGTAAGAAAAAGGAAGCATATCTAGATGTAAAAGATAAGTGGTGTGTTAATAAATATGTTTAAATGAAGGTCAGATAACACATTTAGAATAAATTGGATCATTCCTCGCTGAGCGATTAGCGCTCACCCTTTCATGGTTAAACGTTTTACAAGTAATCCAGAAGCGAAAGATGTTGGAGACAGCAAAGCTATGTGTGAGGGGAGATAATTTATTGTCATCCTAATGTTTTATAGAGATGACAATGGGCCCAATAATTTTGGGTACCCGACCCGGCCCGTCTCGAAAAGCTTGGGCTTTACCCGATGTTCACGGGCTTGGGCTTGGGCCTGTGCCTGATTTTAAGGCCCGACCTCGGGTACGGGCCGGGCCTGGGTATGTCTTCAAACCCAACCCGGCCCGTTAATTTTAGTATTAATTATACTAAATTACCCTTATACTATACATTTAATTACAAGATTATCCTACATATATACACTCATTTTTCCCAACCCTACATGGATGGATGGATGCACTTTGTGGAAAGTTATTTACATAATTGGTGAGTATTCAAAAATAAATTAATATTTAAAAATTGTTTCTAGAATTAAAAATATATAAAAAAAATTGAAATTTATTAATATTTAAAAATTCACATTATAAAAATGGGTGGGTTTGGGTCGGGCCTGAGGTTACAAAAAGCCCATCGGGCAGGGTTGGGCTTTACCTATCATACCCGTGATGGGCCCGGGCCGAGCTTGGGCATTTGTCATGAGGTCAGGCTTGGGCCTGGGCCAAGGGATACCTGGTCCTGGCCCGGCCCATCACCATCACTAACATTTTATCTTGATGTAAATAATGTAAATGATAAATGTTTTTTGAAACACCTTTTTGAAGCTTCCACCATATGAATCAAAATGGCATTAATATGTTTTGATTGATTAATACCCAAATGATTTTTAAGTTTTTATTTTTATTTTTGAAGGTACAGATTTTGATCTTGCGATATATTTTATATTAATGTTTTAGACATTATTATTATTATTCTTGCGCAGGTATACTAAATACAACTCGTTCCCCAGACATGAATTCTTTGGATTCTCATTAAGCGATATTCAAAGGGTACCTGACTAGGGAGGGATTTTACACACTAACTACGGTACTTAGGTTTAATTTTTTGGCCGTGACAATTGGTTTGACAAAATGTTGGTGTCGTTGTCGGGGATGTCGAAGCTGAGGATGCAACCCAACCTTCTCATCCAACGAACTGCTAATAAAGTTATGGGTACTACCTGAATCTGCCAAGACAACTACAGGTACCATAGAGATTATTCCTTGAGTGTTCGAAATGCGGATTTATTTAGTAATTCGAGGGTGAAACTGTAAGAAATTTAAGGTTTAATGCATGATTTATGATGTGAATTCTTGTATATTTCGTTATCTTCCAAAATCACGGGTTTAATGTGTGTTTTCAGGTATTTAGTGCAAAAGAATGGATTATTTGTGCTTGTGCTAGTGTTTGGACATCTTAGACCAATGGAGTGCGGATAAATCAAGGTGAGAAGAAAAAAGAGTGAAATTTTGACTTTATGTTGTAGCACGATTTCCTGAGCCGCAATGTGGTATGGTTTTTGTCGAAGAAGAAATCGCTTGAAACACGCTAGGGCGCAATTCAACTGCGTTGGGGCTTAATTAAATGCAGGTAGCAAACAACTTTGTCATTTTCTCTGTCATCTTTTCCAACATACGGTCCTGGCTTGCAACTAAGGAACCCACCTCTTGTTCCAGACGACGCTCCTAGCTCTGATACCAAAATATTATGTGCCAAAGATTGGGAGCGAGTGGTAAGAGGGGATGGTAAAATGGTCTGGGGTTTCTTCTCGCAACGACCTAATTTGAGATGAGTGAGTATAGAAAAGAAAGAGAGAAGATTAGGATTGTTAAAGGAATCCTTTTCCTACCGAAACTCGATAACTGGGGTAAATTTCTGCATACTCTTTCATTACTGATGAAATCCTTTAAATAGGAAATACATTAACACCCATACATGATCGTGGAAACCTTCCCTTTTTTTCTTAAGAACTACTCTCAAGAGTAGAAAACTACTTTAACAATAATCTTATGGAAGAGGTCCATTACTAACAACCTTGACCAGTCTTCCTTACTCCTAATATTACTCTTGACTTTGCATGTAGCCTAATGCAATGGAAACAAACTACGGCTACGTAAGGATCATAACCCAATGGGGTATCAACCCTCGTAGTACTTGCTTTGATATCAATTGTTCAACTCAAATGAGTACATAAGTCATGTTTAAAATCCTGACTTGTTAGGAAATGATACCCAAAAATGTTTATAGCCCAATTACCAAATCTTAGTTTTGCAATGTAAAACTCAATTTTATTGTTACAATAAATGCCAAGTATCTTAAATTAAAAAAAGGAAAAAAAAAATACTAGAACTTAGAAAGAATCATCACCCAAACATCATAATAAACATTGATGAATTATATTGTTGTCTAAAATTTTCTTAGTTAATTATATGTAATTTTTTAAATTTAATTTTGTATTAAATTATAAAATTAATTATATCATTAGCATAAAGTGTGTAACGCTAATAATTTCCTTAAATCATTGAGGCTCAGTTAATATATAAATTTCTTCTAAATATTTAACATTTTAATATAAAAAGAAAAATCTAGCCCAATAAACCCATGTGTTACACCAAAGTCCCATACTTCCTGGAAATTATCTCAAAATTTCAATGTTGTTAATTGAGTAAAAAGGAATATATTTAAAATAGATATATCTATACATTATTTTATGAAACCATATTAACCCCATTTTATGCTACATATTATAAAGAGACTTGGCGCTATTTAAAAATAATAATAATAATAAAATCCTCCAAATAAATATAAAAATACACCCGAATTAAATTAATTAATCCAACTGCTCGGGCGAATATTCTTTTTTATTCCTCAAGTTCGTGCCGGCATTGAGCGAACCGGAGACGTCTTACCGTATGGTCTTGAAAAGACCGTCACGTTTGGACGCCAACCCACTTTCCAATTCAGTTAATTAGGAATGTTATCCCAATCCTTAGGCGACCAGGCGACAAGTGGTCATATTTCACCGCAATGTGCATCTCATTTAACCCACGCGCTTGACTGGGCGAGTTACTGTAGACAAACCAAACGAATCTACCCATTATATCTATAATTGGAACAAAATCTTTACTACATTAGCAAATCAATTAATACTATTTCTTATTAAATATATAAAATTAGCCATTATATAAATGTTCCTTTTTTAATTGTAGACTATCAAAAATATAAAAAAAAAATTAACTAAAATCTCTAAAATAAAATGAATATATTTATTAAAATAGAGCATAATTCTTTTTTACAGAAATAATAAGCTTCCCTTTAGTTCTAACCAAAAAACTATAAAAAATAATTATTATTAATTAAAAAATATAAAAAAATTAATATATTCACAAATTTTCAAACACCCATAATTCTTCTAGTCCTTTTCATTATGAAAATTAATATGTAATTTAAAAAAAAAAGTATATATATAGATAGTATAAAAGACAACTCAATTGACATATTCTAGTAAAATACTAATAAATATATTAATACAATTCAGAAATAAAAAATCTCACAAATATATTTTTTTTCTTTAATAAATCCATATCATAAACTTTAATCTATTAGATTTTATTCTTTTTCTTACAATTAAAAAAAAAACACCAATTATGGTTGCGGAAACACGCGCCAATAACTGAGCGTGGGGAAGAAAAAGCAGCATATAATTTAGTAATCCAATGGATCACACGCTTACCTTCTAGATTTTTAAGTCCAACAATCACTAAAAAAATGGCAACGTGTCAACATCTCACCGCACTTAACTTTAGAAACCCAACAGGACAATTTGGTCCTGTAACGAGGTAAATCAGATTCAACAGGGAACGTGTCCACTTCCCATTGGGGGCTACCGAACTCTTATTAAATATTGTGTCCCAAATTGTATCTTTATCATTTCTCCACCAGATTACATGAACAGTTTTAGATGGAATTAGAAATTAATTATAAAATAAATATAAAATAAAATAAAAAACGCAAGCCAAACCAACCAACGAAACAAAACATATCTAAAAACCTCTCAACGGTATTTGTGACACAACTTTAAGGGAGACAAAAGAGAGACCAGAGAGAGAAAGGGTTTGTGTGTTTGGTTTTGTTGGTTTTACAGGTGAAAAATGGAGAGCAAAGAGGAAGTTTTTTCTGTTGAGCTACCAGCACCTCCTGCTTGGAAGAAAATGGTTTCTTCTTCTCTCTTTAAAGTTTATTTTTCTGTTTTTTTGTGTTTGAGTAACTAGAGTTTATGCTTTTTGTACTTCAAGCTTAGAACTTTTTGTTGAAATTTTGTGTTTTGTGGCTGTTGAGTGTGGTTTAATTTCTGTTTATTTGTTGGTTTGTACTGTTGTTTTTGGTGGAATTTTGGTTGTGCTAGTTTTATAGCTAGGGTTGTGGTAAAGTTTTAATCTTTAGTTCTATTGTGAAGTTAATTTCCATTTTCCTTTCTGGCTTTTGATTAATTTTAGGAATTTTGAAATTTTTTTTTTGTAGAATTTTGGGTTTTTTATGTTTAGGGTTTTTTAAATTTTTGGTGGGAATTTTGCTGTTTAGGGTTTTCTTTACAGGTTTTTCCTTTAGTTGGTGGTGGTGGTGGCAGTGAGGGATTCTTTTCCCTTTAGTTTTTTCTATTTCTGCCCACCAAAATTTTAACCTTTTTCCACTAATTTGGGGAAATTTTCGTTTCCTTATGGTTAATATTTCTTCACCAGAACACTGTAGAGAGCAAACAATGTCCTGAAAATTTTAACTAGTTGTTTTAATCCAAGTCAAATTGAGCCTTATTTTCAAGTCTCTGAAAAGATTTAAGTGAACATTTCTTGATTTTCGTGCTGAATTTTTTTATCATTAATTTTATTTGCTGAGAAGCCTTGTTTCTTGTACATACTTAGTGAGTAGAGCTTGGACAGGGTAATTTTACTGAAAGCATTCTACCAAAATTCTTAGTGAGTTTTATGAGATTGAAATACTGAAACAGGTGTTTGTCATATAGACTTACTAGAGTTTTATGAAATATCTCTTCTTTTGGAAGTATTTACCAAATGTGAAGTTTTGATTTTGAAACTTAAATTTTTAGTAAAAATGGTTAATGCGTAGTTGATCTCCTGGTCATGCCTCACTTAATTTTATGAAAGAAAAATCGGATGTGCATAAGCATAGACACTATCTTTCAGTTGCTTCAGTAAAAATGAGGTTTTTAAGTTTTCTGCTCCATTGCTTTATTCCTGTCCCATTATTGGTTCATACCTAGTGTTTTTCACGTTGGTACATGATTACTGTAGCATTTTCCCCAAGTTGTTAAGTTAGAGGTTTTTCTAGTTTTATAGTTAATCTGTTTTTCTTGGTATAGCTTTTATTTACTGGGACTATGCTATCCCTCAGATGCCCTTTGTTAAATAACTTTTACCATTAAGAAAAATGAATAGTCAATAGGGGCACTTTGGCTGGAGATAATTATTCTGGGTCATTTGCAATTTATTTGACTCTTTTTATAGACCTTCTTGACTTTTGTATGGTTAATTTAATTTGTTGATGGTGTATACTTACAAATGTCTGAACTATTATAGCTGTTTTGGGATATGAAGGCATGAGCTCATTCAATGTCTACAGTATTATTGATAAACTGTTCTTTTGCTGATAAAGTTTTAAGATTGCAGAGAACAAGGGCTGTATATGCCTCTACCATATTTATCTCTGTCAGGATCCTGCTTTAGTAAGGTCTGTAGTTAGTATGTTCTGAGATTTGTAACGGTGACAAGTTACACTGTGTTATGCCTTAAGAAGATTTCCTCTACATTTGCCGCTGTGTGTTATGCATTTGACTTTTCCCACTGTTTTTGTGCGTTGAACTCATTGCTGTTTATTTTTGGTATTGATGGAATAATTGTTCTTATTAATAATATATGTTTGGATAGATCATTGATATGCTTCTTCCTGGTTTGATGGTAAATTTATGCAGTGCAATAGATGACAATGATTATTATCAGTAAACTCTGTCTGAAGAGTGGGGCTGTGTCTATTATATTTTATTCAAGTACAGAAATCCGTTGTTGTCACCTTCATGATTTTTTTATAATTATTATTTTAAAATTTAAGTTTGATAGATATTTGTCTAACCTAAGTTAGTGGATTACTTCTTTTGAACCTGACTGAACTTTGGTTTCTATAACAAAGCTTGCACTATCTTTTCTGAAAAAGCTGGAAATGAAATACAATAATATTTTATCTATTTAGTTTTGAAATTGGATTTGTGAAAAGCACACCCAGGAAGAGAGGGGAAATGCTGGAAAATCAGATTCTTTGCATGTGTGTTCTATTTTTTCTTTTGAACATCAACCATTGCTTTCTAGATGCTTTTTGTTTGTCTTTTCTCCATCTTTTCCTGGTTGAGGCCTAAATTATTTAAACAACTTTTAATAGAAACAAGCCTAGTTGCCAAGGACTTGATGCCAAACGATATTACAAATTGATTCGAGATGTTGTAAGGCTGTAGTGATATATATCTTAAAGTAAAACAAACAAGCTTTGAGGAAAAGGAAAATTTTCCTCCTTTTGCTTCTTTTTTCCTTTAATGTGGTTTAGCAAGGATAGTGCTGTTTTAGTTTTATTGAATTCTTAATTTTTTCAATTTCTTTTATAGGATGTTTTATGAAATGTCTTTGACAATTTATAATTTTTTTGAGTTTTTTCACTGTCAAGGTGGCATGCTTAATCTTCTCTTAAACAAAAAACTGTCCCTTTTTTTTTTTCATATTCTGCTGCCCTTTATGATACTTATTTTATTTGACATTGATAAACTTTATGCAATACATATAAATGAATAAAGGTATTTAAGACTAGATTGTATCCCTGAGAAGCTTGTTCCTCTTTTCATGGTTGTTTGAATATTAAATTATTAAGTCATGTAACATAATAGTGTAAATGGTTGCATATCTCTGTGGTAAAAAGCCTTTAGTTAATATTAATATAATGACATGCCATCGCAACTCTTGAGTTTATTACATCTGAAGTGGATATGAGTTTTGTTTGTCATCAGTGTTTCATTTTTGTGCTTCAATCTGTTCAATTCTGCCAAGTTAGCAAAGTTATTTTTTTCTTGTTTGACTGGCTAACTAAGCAGCTGCGTTTGCTGGAGTGAAAACTTTAGTACTAACTGACTGAGAGGATATGGTCAATAATGTTTTCACCTGATGGACTGTAGCTGGTTTTATTTAACTAAAAGAAAGTTAGGATAAGAAAAATGTAATAGCAGTACAAGTAGTGTGGATGATTGAGCCTATCCTAAGTTTTGAAAGTCTATGTAATATTGTTGTGCATTTATACGGTGTTACATATTTTTAATGGCTTTTGACTAGGAAGCTAAAGGTGATTTGTTCTGGATTATGATTAGATACCAATTTATGGAAGACATAGCTGGGCCTGTAGAAGCTTAAAGGGAGCCCATGACACAGCATTTATAGATAATTAGATATTGTTTTCAAACTTGAAAGGATGGGTATGATAAATTTTACTGTCATAATCAATGATTATGTATATGCAAGATGTATAATGAAGACAATGTCTAGAGAGAATAAATTTTATGTTTCCAGTGTGCTCTGAACACTGTGGTTTCTTTTAAGATAAAATATGTTCCAACTGTTTTAAGTTTGTTCACAGAGGAGATGCAATACTTGGTGCACATTGTTAGCTGGTGGTGTGTTGATGATAATTTTTTGGTGCACACTAGCTTAGAAGAGAAGATCTTAGCGCATATATAGACAGTATTTGTTGTCATTTAGTGTCATTCAATCACTTATATATTTAATATTCCCAAAAGTGGATAGCTCTAGGCACAGTTTATACATGTTTGATGATCTTTGCACTATTTCTTTTCGTGCTTTTCATAGTCTCAGTGTGAGAAGGCCAGAGTGTTATGTGATTATTGTGCATAGTTATTGTTGTATAACTCACTAAGAAACTCTTTGCTCTGATTCTTGCAGTACTTGCCCAAGAAAGCGGGTACTCCAAGGAAAAGTGAGATCATGTTCGTTGCTCCTACTGGGGAGGAGATTATTAACAGAAAACAACTGGAGCAGTACCTAAAATCTCACCCTGGTAATCCTGCCATCTCCGAGTTCGATTGGGGCACTGGTGAGACCCCAAGGAGATCAGCAAGGATCAGTGAGAAGGCCAAGGCAACTCCAACACCAGAAAAGGAGCCTCCGAAGAAGCGAGGCCGAAAATCAGTGTCGGGCTCAAAGAAGGATAATAAAGAAACTGAAGCTACTCCTGAGAAAACTGAGGGGGAGAAAGATGCTGAAATGCAACATGCAGAAATTACTGAGAAGGAAAATGCTGAAGGTCAAGTTGAGAAAGATGATAAAACACAAGAAGCAGACCAGAGCGTGAACAAAGGTGTCAATTTGGAGAAAACTGGTGCAGAGAACAAAAAACATGCTGAGGAAACCAAGGAAAATGAAGAAAAAGGAGTTCCTGATGCTAAAGAAAATGAAAGTGCAACAGAATTGCAAAAGCCAGAAACTAAAGAGACAGCTACTGAAGTAACTCCGAATGAAAAAGAGAAGGTTGAAGACTCTGTGGAAAAAGTTCCTCAGAGTGAGAAAGAGAATGGTGCCGGTGATGACAACAAAGCAGACAACCCTGATAGCATGACCACGGCCACAAATGGAGGAGAGGAAAAAGAGCAAGCCAATGGATCAGTGCCTGCATCCCATGTTGAGATCAAAGAGAAGCAAGACATGCCACAGAATGAAGAGAAATCTACTGTGCAGGTTGATGAGATAGGTAAAGAAATGGATGCAGAGGTTATTGAAAATGGGAAAGTTGACCAAATGGGGCGAACTGATGCCCCTCAACAGCCAGCTCCAGTGAGCTGCTAAATGTGCTGTACTATTTATTTCCATCAACTTTAGCCCGTATAATACTCCTATATCCTGTCATTTGTTCTGTAACTTTTTGAGATGTCTTGGATGACTGTAACATTAAACTTCTTGATGGTGTTGGTAGATTTAATTGTATGTAGGAAACCAATCTGTATCCTTAGATTAGACAGTAGATGGTGCAGCCAGCTTATGTTGTATTGTGCAGGAACCTAGTTTGTAGACTTGTGAACTCTCTTTATCCTATGTTTATTGACTGAATTTTAAATGCTCGGATAGCCTTTTTATTTTCTCCAGTTACAGGTTTCTTCTACGGGAAAATTTCAACTGTCGGTCACCACCCGGAAAAATTCATAGCAGCTCTAATTTCCTTCGTACGGTAAAAGTTTTACATGCTAATCAGTTGTCTTCATCCGAAAGAGGACTAATGGTCTCTCATATCAAGGAGCAGCTCTCAGTTCTCTTCATGTATAAATCTAATGATACCCCTTAAAATCTATGTGGGTATTTCCGCAACACCATTTTAGTGACTGTATTAAAATGATATTACTGATCCAAAGTTTTGTAACGAATAACGATATTTAAATAATAACAAACACTAATGTGTAATATAAAATACTGTAATTGAAATATTCTTATTTGTTAATAAAGTAAAGTTTTCTTCAGGAAACAAGCAACTGAATGTCCCGTGTAGGTTCAAAGTCGAAACCACGGTCCCAAAATCCTCCTCCACAAGCAGCCCCAAAGCAAGAAGCTTCAAACTCCTATGAACCAAGAAAAGTATATCAATTGAATGAAAAAATTTGAAGCTTTAGGGAGAAAGTCCAAAAATGAGAGAAAACGGCTACAAGATCTGGAAGTGAAAAAGGTACTACTTTTAAGAGGAAAGGTAAGAATCTATACTAATCTCATCTTTGTGAGATCAAGGTTAAGAATCTTTTTCAACCCAAGTTTAGTTTTTGATATCTTCTTTGCTCTAAGGCTAAGAATCTTTTTTGTATTTTCTTGGGGTCTATGGCATGCCTGAAGAACAAGTATTGTCATCTTTTTTCAACTCTTTTTGAGCTACAAAAGCTTGGCTTTCACAATCCAACTTATCTTTTCCACAAATGGAATGCACTTTCTCTCATCATTTCACCTCCTCCCAAATGTCTTTCTCTTCTTTCTTCCTGTGGCTCCTCCTCATCTTCTCTATCATTTCATCTTGTGGTATGCACCCTTTCAGGATTTTTCATTCTTGTTAATTATGCAACACGCAAATTTATTTAGCTGGTTATTTCTTTTTGATGTAGAAGGAAATTTGTTACATTGATCATCTAGGACAGTCTGAGCCAAAACTTTAATGAATTAGAAGGAAATTTTGAAACCCTTTGAATTAATTCTTCACATTGAAGAGTTGAGCTGAGAGAGATTGCAAGAGAAAATTTTGATGTTATTAGTTTTAATTTTTGGTGGGTTGTTCTGTTATTTATGCTTTGAAATCTTTATTTATTTTATTGCAATATGCTTTTTAGGTGATTGTCTTTGAAATCATGTGGAAAAAGGTTATTTTTTTATGAGTATAAATTGAATTAAACTGTCAAATAGAAATTATTTTGCTTATTGGTTGAAACTGAACTGAGATGAATGGAACCCCTTGCCTGCTAACTGTTATGATGTCTCCTCCATTAATTGTAATAGTCAAGCTAATGATGAATTTGTCTTTAAAAAAATTTTGTCTGTCTGGTTGTTTTGACAGTTAATGCATTCACCGGGACATATGGAATAAACTATGGCAGGATAGCAGACAATATACCACCACCCGAAAGCGTGGTGACACTTCTGAAAGCTGCTAAGATTAAAAACACAAGAATCTATGATGCAGATCGTAGTGTCCTCGCGGCCTTCAAAGGCTCCGGAATAGAGATCATAGTGGGACTTGGCAATGAGAATTTGAAAGAGATAAGTATAGGCGAGGATCGCGCCATGAATTGGATAAAAGAAAATGTGCAGCCATTCCTTCCTGGAACTCGTATTAGTGGAATCGCTGTGGGGAATGAAATTTTGGGGGGCACTGACATGGAACTGTGGGAGGTTCTGCTGCCTGCGGCGAAAAATGTTTACAATGCCCTTTATAGGCTGGGATTGCATAAAACTGTTGAAGTCTCAAGCCCACACTCAGAGGCTGTGTTCGCCAGTTCGTACCCGCCATCAGCGTGCGTTTTCAGGGAAGATGTCTCGCAATTTATGAAGCCCCTTTTGCAGTTCTTTTCGCAGATCGGTTCTCCATTTTACATAAATGCATATCCATTTCTAGCCTACAAGAATGATCCTGAGCATATTGACCTTAACTATGCTCTTTTCAAGTCAAATGCTGGGATCCATGATGCAAAGACTAATCTACGCTATGATAACATGTTCGATGCTATGGTTGATGCAGCTTATTTTGCATTGGAAAAGGCCGGATTTGAGAAAATGCAAGTAATAGTTTCTGAAACTGGTTGGGCGTCTAAAGGGGATGCAGACGAAGCTGGAGCTACCGCCAAAAATGCAAGGACTTACAACAAAAGTTTGCGTAAAAAGCTAGCGAAAAAGAAGGGAACCCCCTATAAACCAAAGACTCCGGTGAAGGCTTATGTCTTCGCATTGTTTAATGAAAATTTGAAACCCGGGCCAACTTCAGAGAGGAACTTTGGATTGTTCAAAGCTGATGGGAGCATTTCATATGATATTGGGTTCACTGGACTTATACCATCTTCAGCAGCTTCAATATCCCATCTCCCTTTCCGGGTATGATTTGGCCACAACTCTTATTTTTATTTCATAATTATAATTGTTTTTAACATTTAGCCTACAAACCTTAACTAGAACTTAAAATTTGATAATGTCAAGCTTTAGAATTCCACATCCATACTCAACACATCCTAATTGATCTACAAGCCATATTTGCAGGGTACGGGAGCTCTAGGATGGCTCGGATCACCGGCTTTTACAACTTGTGCAGCGACGCTCTTCCTGATCTTCCGGTTGTTGATTTAATCAAAAAGGGTTGTGTCCTAGTTCCATTAATTTGACTATGAAGCAGTTACAAGAAAGATGTACAGTTATGTCAGATCAATATACATTATACAACTAACTGAATCTCTATTCTTGTATTAACTTGAATTGAATAACATCAAAATTTGCTGATAGATTATTTTTTTCAAGTCATCTTCAGCAATTTGTGAGTACCATATTCTTGTAAAGCAAAATCAATAAGAAAATCACTCTTTAATTGTGCCATTTGATTCGATCAGCTTAGCAGCTTCTGTCTTCAGGTTTAAAATTGGATCCATGAAGAAATATATCTTAACAAGCCCATAAAGAATCCAATGTTGGGCCTCAAGTAGGTCTGATGGGCTTTTATTTTCTAAGCCCAACCAAAACCAATACTTTTAACTTACACATTTGGTGAATAATTAAAACCAAAAAAAAAAAAAAATTCAATAAAGATAAATTGACAATCCTTCTCACTATCTTTCTCTCATAAATGTAACGTAATAGTTCGCAATTAGTCAGGTAAAACCCATTACATTCTAATAAATTACTTATGTTAATTATTATCTCTAAGTAACTTCCCCTAAAATTATAAAAAATTATAGATTTTCCCATAATATGTTAAATGCAATGTTACCAATTTATTTATAAAAAACAAATTCAAAAAATTAATATCAAATCCAAATTCCTTAAAACTATTTCGGTTATGGCAATACTACGTTTACAACTCAATCTTATAAACTTTCTCTTACAACTCCGATATGGCAGTTCGTCATTGGTTTATGATGAATATTCTCGCCTGACCAATTTTGAGTTGTCACGTCGAAGTTGTGAGATTAGATTGTAAACCTATCTTTATTGTTTCGGTTCAGTCTGAAACCAAACCAACTCTCCCAATCAAAGTTAGAAATGTCAAAGAAGAAGTTTCAATTACATAATATTTTTAATTAGTTGGAATGAAGAAAACTTGAGCCCTAGAAATCTTCTTAGAAGAAAACCTTGCTTTGCCCCCTTCTTTGGGAAAAGCAAGTTTTAGTTTTACACATGGGCAAGACTATTAAATTCATATTTTGAAATAAAATAAATTATATTTTATTTAATAAGTAACACTTTATGGAGAATTCTGAGGTATGGAAATATTTAATTTTTAAAACAACTGGGTTCACAAAATTCAAATTTGTGGACTTTTAGATTTTAACTTATGAGTTATGGCTTCAATTAATGAATAAAAATCGAAGCTATGAAAGTCAGCTGATAGTGATTGTAACCTAAATGAAGTCCTCCGTTTACTTCTATATACTATTTGTTATTGGTCCATAAAAATAAAATAAATCATATTTAATTAGGATTAATCATATTATTGATTCAATAATATTATTAGAACAAATCGTAATCCTTGAATTTGGATTAAGTTGATCACTAAACCAAGATCCAAAAATTATAATTGATCCAATTTTCTTAACAAATATTTTACACAACATATATATATATATATATATATTATTGATTTATTAGCACTAAATTAATTTGATAAGTTTTCCAAACCGATATTGCGATTTTATAACTACTTTCATATATATATATATATTTTTTTTTTTTTGGAGTAAACAACTTTTTCCTACCAAGGTTTGCCTTAACAACACTTTTCCATTCAAAAAGTTTCAAACTACCACTTTTCCACCCAAAGTTTATATTCTATTACTACTCAAAGTCAATTCCGACCGATTTTAATGGCAAAAATGCTCCTTGTCACCATCATTTTAACCTTTGGTCTCCTCTTTATAAAATTTCTCTCACTCCTATACCTAATTTCTTATTGATTGTCGGCCACCGCAAAGCTAGGGTTTCTTATTCTTAGTTGATTTCCAACTTATTCTGGTGACGAATATTCAGTCGGTCACCACCATTCGATCCATCGATCTTCACTTTACAAAACCCCTCTCATCCTGACTTCTGGTAATTCGTCGAAGGCTGATTGAGAAAGTAAAATATATTTTGGATATTAACGGAATATAAACATTGGGTGAGAAAGTGGTATTTTGAAACTTTTTGGTGAGAAAGTGTTATTAAGACAAACCTTGGGTGGGAAAAAGTCCTTTACTTTTTTTTTTTTTTTTCTTTTTAGAGAGAGAGACAATAATTAATTCAAGGGAGTTGGACTAAAAAATTGGTGAATTAAGAGAAGTTTCCGATTACTTACCAACGACGGAGGATTCAAAATTCCATTAAATGATATCGAAAATTCCCAAGAAATTAATTTGCATGCATATAGATTAGTCTTAGCTTTGACACTTCCAACTTGGGCTTCATTTGAAGGTCACAACCCGAAGAAAGAGAGAGAGAGCCGCACCAGTGCATGGTCTCCACTGGCATCTTCACTACGTCGTCATCGCACGGTCATCTCTTCATTTCCCGTGAAGGCCGCATCTTCATAGCCATCTAACTCTAAGTCTTCATATTAACACTATAAATACACTGGAGGCCTTTACATTCTTCTCATCAACTCATTTCAGCAACCAAAGTATTAATTTCACTAATATTTGCTGAGCAATAGAAGCTTATACTTAATTTAGTTTCTTTTTAATTATTAAGATATACTGAGAGAGATGGCTAGGTTTATGAGCTTGGCTTTTGTCGGAGTTATTGCTGTGGCTCTCCTCCAATGTGCGGCGGCAGCGACGGATCATGTAGTCGGAGACGGCGAGGGATGGAAAGTTCCGTCAACCACCAACGTTTATGAAAATTGGGCTGCCGGCAAAACCTTCATGGTTGGTGATATTCTAAGTAAGTGTTTTAATCCTCTCGTTAATTAATATCTTAATCTTTAATTACTTTTTAATTTCTTATTTCTTACTTTATTTTATTTTCTTGTTCTATTAGCTTTCAACTTCGTCACAAATGAACATGACGTACTTGAAGTTACAAAAGAATCCTACCACGCCTGTACTGATTCAAACCCCGTCGGAAACAAGACCAACGTCGGCCCTGCAAAGATCAACCTCAAATCCGCCGGCGACAAGTACTACATTTGCACAATCGGACGCCACTGCGCCAACGGCCAGAAACTAGCCATTAAAGTTACCTCTGCTGACGCTTGCTCTCCAACGTCGGGCCCCTCTGCCTCGACTCCACCTCCTCCCTCTGGCGCCGGCGGTGCGCCGGGTCCTGATTCTTCATCATCGATTTCTTTGGCCAGTGTTTTGTTGTCCATGTTTGCTGTTGTTATAGGCTTCTTGTTTTAGAATATGAAACGATTATAACAGGTTTAATTTTGATGAATACTTAAGCTAATTTGCTTAAGAGTACAAAATAACGATTCATTTGTGGGGTATTGCATTTTGAATTTTGGGTTAATAAGATCAATAAAGTTTCCCATTTCTTCGAAATTATTTTAATTATTCAGCTGCAATATGAAACTAGCTCAAACGAAAAATAATTCTTGTACATTTTATAGAGGATTGTGTCAGTTCTTTGTAAAATACATCTCAAATACTGTAATTCATCTTAATCCTCTATTTTTTTTTTTTTTTAATATAATTTTGAAACAATCTAAAGAGTAATATGAGATCCAACCAGTAAATACACACAAATATCAAACTAATAAAGAGAAAGAAAAACACGCGTGATTTATCTTGATTTATCCAATAAACAGGTTACGTCCAGCAGAGTCAATATCATTAGAATACTATCTCGCCTCTCTCGTTACAATGTATGTATTTGCCTATAGTGTGCTATCATATTCATACAAGAGAATAATAAGTTTATATATTAGGTTTAAAGAGGAAAACTTAACATTATAAGGATCAATTTTCCTAAGCCCAAACCCAAATAAGAATTTAATTACTTAGAGAAATTTTACCACGCTCTTCATGGAATAGGCCCAAACCGCCTATGGGCCTAGGAGTGCTACTCCCTTGACTCCACCCGCCCACCAAGGAGCGGGACCCCTGAATGTGTTTGTCTCACCCTTATTGTTGAAGAGGTGATAACTCCAACAAATTTATGCTTCAATTTGTGTAAATATAAGGGTTCAAACTTGATTTTAAATATTTCAGGAAAAAAAATGAACTGATTAGTTTAAGTGAAAATAAAAATAAAAAAGAGGTATATTTAAGAAAATATATTATTTATTTATATATACCTCTATTATAATCAACAGGTAACCTAACCAAAACCAGATTTGATTAACCTAATTAATTATATAGAATTAGTTAAAACCTTTGACTTAGGTCAAGTTTCATAATACCATTTTTAAAACCTTCTCTATAAACACAGTAAGGGCCGAAGATGTTGAAGCAGACTTCCACCCTGACATGGCGTGGCCCATGCTCCAGTCCCAACTCTCTAGACCTCTAGATCCATCGGCATCCAAGGATAAGAAGAGTAAGAAGAAAAGGCGACGATCTTTTTTTCTTTCCTTTCTTTTGTTGAATTTGCGTGCTTCTTTAGGCGTATGTGCTTTTATGAGCTTTTTATGTTCTATAGCCTTTAAGCTGATCGTATTATCTTGTAAACTTTTTTATTTTTGGATTAATATACTTACTTTCCCATATATATATATATATATATATTCCGTCCAAAAGTGGTTTTCAATTTCTCTTTCTTTCGTGATCAATCTCGATTACATGGGCAAAGAATTCTCAACATACATAAAATGTATAAAATAGTGAAGAAAGATTCGGATTAACAAGCAGCTATCAAACAATTAACTTTTTATAAAATAAGGCTGCATTATTTTTTTCTGCTCCATAAAGAGAAACATTCACTCAATTTTTTAAATCCACTTTGCTCATTGTTATATATTTCGGGGCATTTTTAGGTTGCTCTACTGATATAGACTTTTCTTTGTTTAAACTTTAGATATACATATATGAATATTTTGACCACATTGCCAAAAATATCAGTGTGCTCCTTCAATTTCTTTTAGGGTCATTAAATTTCATTAATTAAATTTATTACCTGTTTAGATTATAATTGTTAAAATTCTTATTTTTATTTTACTAAATAAACTTTACAATATAATTTTATAAAATTCTCCAGACCGGTTTTTATAGACTAAGAAATTTGGGTTGGCAACTGTAATAAGAATTAATGAGATTATATGTATTAATAATTTTTTTTTTTTAAGTATACACTAGGGTTACGTATAATAAACCCTTGTGTGTTTGACCGTTTTGTAGTGAATACCTGCTGGTTTTGGAAATGTGATCCTAAAGTGAATCTCGTGTATTTGACTCAAGTTCAAATAAACACAAAAATATATATAAATTTGTTTTTACAAATTAATTTGCTTGCCGACTGATCGTTGTCAACAGGAATAGACCTGGATTGCATTATATTTGGCTAATTTGACATGTCATATAGCCAGAGATGAGAAGCCATTTTCAATAATAAATAAATGGAAATGTCAATTTTTGTAGGGTAAGTGTTATTTGTATCTTCAGGTTAAGAAATTCTTTGTCTGGCCACCTAACATAAAAAACGTAAACGTTTACATATTAGATTATGTCATATCATAACCAAAAAGGAAAATTATTTGCATTTCAAAAAAACTAAAGGGCCTACTAAATTTGTATTTACGTATGTATAATAATAACATAATTTTCTATTTCTGGAAATAATTTATGCAATTTTTTATTAGATGGAGTATATTTTGATTGTGATTTAATTAATTAAACTGAATGCATGAAAATGGGTGGGTTGGCCATGGCCAACATGACAGAGGAAGAAGACGAATTAAGAAGTGGAAAAGACGGCATATATATACAAATATATATGAATGAATGATTCTTTCTCTCTCTCTCTTTTTTTTTTTTTTTTCAATTTTACGTATAAATACAAAAATAATATGTATGGTCAACATGGTATGTTTAATCTTTCTCATAGTGAATATTCGTTGGTTTCAGAGATGTGACTCTAACCCTCATGCATTTAACTTTTTTATAGTGATTTTCAGCTGATTTCGGAAATATCATTAATTCGACCTTTAAATTTATCAACAATTTCATCCATTACCTCAACAAAATATATTAATCTCGTAAGATTGTTGACAAATTTTAGATATTAAATTGATTGAATTTGAGTGAATAATGAAAACTACATTTTCTTCAAACTCAAATAGAATAACCCAACAGTCTGTAAAATGATATTATTAGTTGGATTCGATTTATATTTGCATTTTTAATATATTTTTTTCAACAAGAATCTTTTTAAAATGCATATTTAAAGTATGGGTAATTATAAAATAATAACATAGAGTAATACTACACTTACAAAGAAATTTTACAAAGATTTCCATACAAAGTGACGTGGCAAAAAATGAATGGAAGAGTAAATTTAATGAGTTTGACTTTTGTTTCACTTTTCCATTCATTTTTTGCCACCTCACTTTGTATGAAAATCTTTGTAAGATTTCTTTGTAAGTATAGTATTATTGAATAACATATATGTAACTTGAGTTGAGACCGTATAAAATATATGGCACACATTGAGTGTTTTAAATACCATACCATGTGATGAAATACAAAATTATGAGTCAATTACAAATTCAAAATGATACTATTAGTTGGAATCGATTCTATTTTATTTTTTTATAAGCACAAACAAAATTTGGACCATATAAATTGCTCATAATTCAAGTGACATATCTCCAATAAATAAATGAGAGTAAGATATTCTATTTATATTATGTTGACGTTTGATTTTGGACGCCAACGACTCACACGTGCAAAGTGCTAATAGAGCCTTAGAAATTACTTATGATGGATCTGAGATTTGAATATGGTGCTGAGGATATATATGTTGTAGGAACTAAATAAAAGATTGACAAGAGAGGGTTTTTATAGTGGTTTGGATGCTTAAAAGCGAATCCTACGTCCACTGTTATTTTATTATTCTCTGGCTATTTCTATAATATTGCCCCTAAGGCATACAAAAATGAAGAAATACAGTGTTTACAGAGAGAAATAATGAAATGAAACTCAAATCTATGTCTAACTCTCATCTGCTCCGCCTCCTCTTTTTTCGTGAAGAGAAGTACTCATTTATACACCCAAAAGTGTTTTGCAAGTTGCCTTGACACATGGAAGGCTCTCATCCGTTCCTCTCTTCAAAGGAGATAGGGTTGGTATGAATATCTTTGAGGAGATAAGGTTTGACAGCTAGTACAAAGAGACATTTATTAAACTGACATAAGTGTGACTTTTTAGGCATAACATATTATATTATAGAATTCAAATTCATCTAAGGTAAGTTTAAATGTGACTTAAAAAAAAAAAAATCGAACATGAAAAGTATTTTTATTGGTCAAAGTGATTGATATGATCAAGCCCTTAAGTTGTTTGTCATGGTAGTCAGAAATGAGGTTTCGACAAGTATATGTAGTTTTCCTCGATGTTTAGTTAAAGTATGCGTAAACTGGTCTAAATACTTTAATTATCAAAAAGAAAAAAAAAAAAAAAAGATACACTTAGGGTCTACTATTACTATTACCTCTTTATGGGTTATACGTAACTTGCTCTATTACCATTTAGAAGAATTAAACAACTTATAATTAAATTAAAGGCTTAAGTTATTTATTACTATACAACTTTATTTCAATGTTTCATCAATGACGGTATAGACTATAGAGTCTCACACTTAATGGTGAGTGAATCAAGACTAAAGTTTCACAATACATATACGTAAGCGTATTGATAGGTTTGGAGTTAAGTCTCCACATGATGATCACGTATCAACGAGTCCACGGAAAAATTATTAACCCTATGAAGCCAACACTCCACCTTTTCATAGTTTTTCTTTATTTGTTTTATATTAAGGTTGATACTTGACATTATTAATAGACCGAAATATCTTAATAAAAAAATAAAATAAAATAACGACACTACCTTTTTAAAAATGTAAGAAAAATTACTTTAAATAAAAGGTATCGGGCATTAAGAAACCCTACACCACTAACATTGAATTTACACTCAATCACTCGTATGATAATTAGGGTGTTTAAAACTGGTTAATCGTAATTTAATATGATAAATAGGGACATTCAAAACCGGTTAATTAGTCTGAATGTCCATTTTCTTTAACGGAATGGTTTTCTAGTTCAGAGAATTCTTGAAACAAAACCGAACAAGTTTCAAGGAAAAATAGTTTTAAATCGGTTTTTCCATAACAGTGTAAAATATATACCAAAACTTTAAAACAGTTCACTAAATCGGTTAACTGGTTTTGGGCCTTTTGTCCCTTTTAGACTTTTTAATTTTTATTGCAAAAATTCTCAACACACATAAAATGTATAAATAATGAAGAAAGATTCGGATTAACAAGCGCTATCAACAATTAACTTTTTTAAAATAAGGCTGCATTATTTTTTCTGCTCCATAAA